CAAAAAATTTTTTGAATTACAAAAGAGTTGTTTTCAAACTTGCGCCTCTTTAGGATGGTTGGATTTCACCTCCCAGATTTGGGGGAGTGGAAGTCCACTCATCTTAAAGTGGCCAAGTTTGGACAACACTGCTTTAGACATTCAAAACTTTTTTTGTAACCCATCTTCTACATGCATGTCCGTTCTTTGTAAATTAAACAATCTTGGAATTTTCTGGTCTGCAATGGTCTGTCTCCAAGTAGAAAAGAATCCACTTAAAATGTTACACACACATACACAAATACAGCATGATAATTAAGAACACAGATTTCCTCAGATGCAGACCTGAGAACATTGTTGAATAGGCAATCAGTGGAAATCAGAGGGGTCACTTCATTGTGATCACTGAAATACACACTTACAGATAATTAACAAGCTGAGCTATCCTATCTGATATAGGGCACAAATTAGAACAGATTAAAGTATTCAAATATCTGGGTTTTGTTTTTCATGCCAGAAAACTTATCTTTTGCAAAATGCTCAGAATTCAGCTCTGAACATACAAACTTTTTATTGATCAAAAAGTATCCTATATATTCCAGCCACAATTATAGCTAAAGTTTGATTGCAGCATTCAACAACATTCCTTCCAAGTTGGATAGATCCAACTCTGTTGGCTTTCTATAAGGTCCTGAAAGCCTGTTTTTTCCCCTGGGCACTGGGCCCTAGTGTTGGATGAACCCATCTAGAAATGAAATATCTTGAATATGCTATGATTGACCTTGATTATTATATTGGGAGGTTCCATGTTTTATTTTTGGTGTCTTTGTTTTTATGCTTTTCACCATATGTAAGATACCTGGAGTTATTGCAAGTTGGGTGGCCATATAAATATTTTTAAAAATAAATAAAATAAAATAATATTGCAGTTTTCGAATCCATGTTTTTGAAAAACATTTCAAGTATGCCAGTGTGTCCTTTGTCAAGAAACTGGTATAATTAGAGTTGAAACTGCAATGTGTGTTATTATCCTAAATTACATTTTCCCCATCTTCTGGACTGGCCCTAGGATGATATGCTGAAGTATGAGGAGCAATTTCTCCATGTATACTTAATAAAGGCTTGACAATGATATACAGGTAGTCCCTGGGTTAAGAACGGAGCCTATTGTAGCAAAATTTGAGTTAAATACACAATGATTTAAGTTAAATACACAGTGGTTTGAGTTAATTGCACAATACTACTTACACAGTATTATACAAGTTTGATTTAAGGACAGACCTTGGGAACGAAACTCATTCTTAAACTGGGGGCTACCTATACAGAAATTTCTAGTTCATCCCTATTAATGTTATAGGATACAATTTCAATAACCATTATAATATCAAAATCTTTCAAAAAAAAGTACTGGGGCATATTATTTTTATGAGCTGCTTACAGAAGACATCATAATCTTTCCTATTGTAGACCAACTTCCCTCTATTCCAGTAAGAATGGTCAATGAAAGACTGTGGAACCTATAATCTTAAACCTTTGCTTTCCCCTAGCTTCAGAGTGTAGTATGCACAACTGATGCTTAGGCTGTTTATTGAAAAACAAAAAGTGTAAAAGTTTGTATGCCTAGCATGTAGAATTAATGAAGGTCATGATGATATAGATACAGTTATCAAACTTTGAAAATCAGCCATGTCACAGTATGAAGGATGCTACATTCCAGGCTTCATTATATGTAAACAGAAGCAAGAGGTGTGGCCTGAGGGAAGCAAGAGTTTGTTTACCTCCAATAAATAAAAAG